ATGAAATGTTTGAAACAACCATAATAGACTGCAGCCGCACAGTTTTGTGCCACAAGCAAGGACGCGGAGCCGAAGCGTGCCGACAATGTTCCTCGATTGCAATTTTTCGCTGCAAGAACCTGAGAGATGAGTTCTTCCGTTGATCGGCCCCGAGGTGTGCCCGACTTGTGGCAGCGGTCCGTACTGCAGCAATTGCGGACAATTGGTTTGGCGGCACGGTTACACCCCCAATCAGGGGACCTGCGTTTCGCCAGCAATGCAGTATCAGCTGCTCGGCAGACCTACGACGATTCGCTGTTTTGCTAAGACTACGCCCTTCGTCAGAATTTCTCTCCAAGGTTTGTCGTCATGCAGCCGATGGAGGCCAGAAGTTGCCATGCTGTTCCGATGCGTTCATTTCATTCTGATGTTTTGCCGACTGTGCCTTGCAGGCAGCCGGCAACATTAACTGCATGATGCCGAACATGCAGCCAATGCAGCCCATGCAGACTATGCAGCCCATGCAGCCTATGCAGTCTATGCAATCCCCCATGGTGCCAATGTGCATGCCCATGGTGCCTGTGCCGCAGTAAGTTTCCTCTTTCAGTCCCATAACCCCTGACATTTCTCATCGTGTGTGCATGGAAGCGTTAGTTCTGTCCGAGGCCGTCGCTGTGCCGTATCTTTGATGCACGTGGATTAAGTTACAAGCCAGCTAACAGAACCTCCATAATGGCTGAGGCAGCCAGAACTGGCAATGGGAGGTTGACGACGGCATGTCGCTTGACCTTTCTTATCGTTGTCTCAGGAGCAGGAGGCCAAATTATGCGTTTTTGGGTTCCGGCGATTCAGACAAAGTGTGGAGGAGGCTTCATTATGGTCTGCTAAACTGAGTGGTCGACTCGTCGCTGAGGCTCCCCTGCCATCCCGCCAGGCTGCTCAGAGCCAGATGGCTCATGCTTAAGAAAGCAAGCAGCTCCCAGACTGAGTGGTTCGCATCCGCGCCCGGCAAGAGATATGCCGCCAATTCCCATAGTGGTGCCGTCGCAGGCACCCAGAATATTCTGGAGGGGTCAGACTCAGAGACGCAAAAAGCAAGAACACAGCTGTAGTTTTCATGACCTGTCCAGCTCTCAGCTGCAGGCAATCATCGATTTTCGACCCGACTGCATCAAGATGTATCGACATGAGTAGGGAAGTAACATATTAAGACATCTCGATGCAGCCGTCATATTTTCCTCTCGCTTTTCTTTGTCTTCTAGACAATGCAGCCGCCCAGTCAATTCGAACTTCGCGCTGCCACGTCAGTCCACTGTTGGCAAGTGATGTTTTTTTCCTTTTCTGCCATGCGCTGCTACAACAGCATTCTCCTTTCTGGATACAAGACTTCTTGGTGCCTCTTGCTCTGGGTCTGACACGCAGCGCCCCAGACTTTCAACCTTTCGGTTCAATGGGCTGCCGAATTTCTCCTGGTTCCTGCCCATCCGTTCCCGGCAAAACAGAAGTGTTTCACCGCCAGCTGCCCTTTGAAGATCTTTTTCACAGGCCACCGAGTTGAAGATGCCCCGAAACCCGCTTCAGGGCGGCGTCGGACAGCTGGCAATGGATCCAACGGCATGTTGCGCATGGCTAGCCTGCCACATCTATATAGGGTCCATGTATTTCCGTGCTTTAATGTATTTGTCTGAGGGTGTTGAAGTACATACATGTATGTATGCAATGCATGTCTGTCTGTCTGTCTGTCTGACT